GGTACAAGTGTAGGAGAGATTACAATAGAGCGCACATTTCGCAATACGCGTCTAAACAAACGTGTAGTAGGTACACAAAGGATACGAAAGTTCCCATGGACAATGGTCGTTCTACCAGCATGGTTATAGCATAACGGACTTATTTATTGGAAATTAAAGAATTTCGCACGTTTACCGCGTAAAGGAGAAATGATATTCGCTGTGGCAATTTGCCGATCGGTAAGTTTCAGGAAGATGAAGGATTTGTCTAAAGGGCGGCGTTTTGAACACGAACTATGGTCCAATCTTATATTCAAAACCATCTTAAATTCGTCTGTCATAAACGGTGTTGAAATTCCATCTAACCAATAAAATGAAAAATAAGACAATATTGACTGTAAAAGATCGGACTATGAATACGAGAACAACAAACTTTTACTCGCTTCGTCATAATTACATGAAACGCGTAAATGGCTACAAAAAAAACGGATCTTGCTGATAAAGCGGTAAAGAGGGATGGGTGTGTTACGAGCCAGGAAAAGGTGGCGACGTCGAGGAAAAGTGACGGCGGCGGTGGCGAAGCGCGCGCACGCGCGCGCCGTATGTCCGACACTTTATGAATGCACGCCGCGGCCGCGTGTGCGTGCGTACGTGCGTGCTCGCGTATACGTATGCGCGCCCGTACTACGTACGATACGGCGGCGGCGGCGGTGGCGGCGGCAGCGACGGCGGTCGCAGTACATTCATGCGGAGCTCCGGCGAGCGTATTTGTCGCGCGTAGCGCGCGTAGTAAGTACCCATACGCGGGCGACGCGTGCGTGCGCGATAAATGGAGGGCGCGATGAATGTACTTAGAATATCGTTGCCCCGCAGAAATCGTTAAAACGAGCCCGTCTTGCGCCTGCGGGCACGGGGCACGACCGCCCGCGCTTATATTCACGCCGCTGAAAACACGCGAGATCGATATGCATAAAGATTTAAGTTACACCGTCACTCTCTGTGGCCCTTCGGTGCTAATCGTGTTACATCATAAAGGACCTGCCGCGTCTTATTCCATTTTCGCCAAAGAGTGTACAGATATGATCTAATTTACATGATCAAACAGTTCGTTTTTCTCACTTCCATCTTAAATTCGTATTTATAACCGTGGAATATGGTTATTAACTGTGGAAAGCTTTGTAATGCATAAATTATTATTATTACGATTATAATCATGTAATTAATAAATTATATATACTGGCATAAGCCTGAATTTAAGGGTTCAACGCGTTGCACATTTTATTGTCGAATCGTAATTTTATTAATATAAGCCTTCCTGCATATGTAAAATTTTGTTTGGAATATCGTTTTGCGCCGTGACACTCAATGCAACGTTTACATCTCGATGTTTCTTTTTCTTATCATATACGCAACGTGGTCAAACGCCTTCCGCGCCTGCGCCTTGTACAATAATAATTACGCTCATTGACATTTTTTTCCGGTTCATTCATCAGGGCTGACCCGACCCGAGCCAGAAGGCGGGCGTGCCGCTTTGCCGCACCTCGTCGATCTCACGTGCTTTATTGGAACACAACGCCACAACGTGCACGAACGTTTAAACACGAACGCTGTGCATTCCACTTGCGCTAGATGTGTTTTTCGTACATATTTATTTCCGTACGTATTTTATATAGCGTACGAAAATAACTGCATTTAACTGCTCTAATTAATGACACGCATTTGCGGACTCTAAAAAAAGCGTGCACTTTGCTTTTCACGACGGTTTAACAAACGGTATTTCCGATAATCCTGACAAATCGAAACTATGAAGTAAACAGAGGAAACAGAAAATTAAGCGGTGATTTAATTACGCTACCTAAACGTTGAAATACAAAATGCTTAGCGTATTTTTTTATTTTTACACGAATGTGTTTTACATTGCTCGATCAATGTCAGCTTCCGACGCTTCATTCTTTATGCTTGATCGTAAATTCTACGGCTCGGCAATTGTGCCATGATAATTGTGATAATATTCTTTACACTCGCCAACGTTACCCGAAAAGCGAAGGTCCGAATATTTAGTCAAATATTCATACACTGACTCCACGTCTGCTTCCTACTCCATTTCTTACGCCTGATTATACACCGCGTAACCGACCCTCTCCGTTGCGCTGAAGTCACCTCGCTTTACGAAGTACACGTTCTACACGGCACGCACGTGTGTCCGCGAACCCGCGTAACCACTCACGCGAAAAAACACCCTCATTCGTAGCGTCGACTAAATAAAAGGTGCAGCGCCGATTAGACCACATATCGTTTCTTCATTAAGAAACGTTTGTACTCACTCCATTAAAAACGATAATATTTTGTATAATTTGGATGGTGATTTATTTATTTTTTATTAGAGAGAAATGCGGTGATCGGAGAACAAGATCTTTTTCCTAATAAATCGATACCTCAGATTTTTTTATACCTTATTGTTAGAAGTGATTTTAAATTTAGCTTATTCAAAAAATTGTGTAACATAATTTGCCATTTTTAAAACCACATTTAAACAGGATTTATTCACGTTTTTTTTTCTTTTTTTTTCAAATAATACACGGGAATAATACGAGTGGCAATCGCCAGGTCGATATTCGAATTAAATACAGCTGTAACTTGGTATCGAATAACGTGGTATCGAATCACACCGACAAAATTCGCGTAAACGCTTCTACCGCGAGCGCGAACGTTCATTCGTCGATATTCGAGTAGCGTAAGTACAATCCTCACGATCAGGTTGCACGTTACTTTCGAGACTTTCGGTGTCGCTTACAATAATTACGCTCACGCAACGTGGCTCATTGACTCCTTTTTTTTCACCCTACTTCTCCCGCTGCCGCCACCGCCGTCGCGGTCCATTCACCGGTCCTGCCGACCGAATAACCCGCCACCTCGAGTATCTATTTGTGCATTATGTTTGTGTACCAACGGTGTATGCGCGCGCGTATGTGTGGAGAGGGGGACACGATTCCGTCGAGAGGGTCGAGAGAAACAACACCGTAGAACAGTGCGCGACAGACCCACGGAGAGGAAGGAGGAGGACTATCTTCTCCTTTTCTCCCCGTCTTTCTCTACCTCTCTCCCTCTTGCGCATACGTGTGAGTCTTATACGACGAACGTTGCGCTGCGGGAGGGGAACGAGATGCGAGAGGAGAGAATTTCCTGTTGTGAACGTCTTCGACGCATCTGCCCCAGCCTCTTAAGCCCAAGCCACGCGCGAGCACGAGCACCTATTAAGGCGCCACGGATAAAAGTCACGGCTCCCTTTCCATAATTAAGGAGTTCGCTCCGAAAGGGGCACGTCATTAATATCTCGAGAGATACGAACTTAAGAATTTGAATGTAGCGTCCGAAAAATTCGTCGATAGACTCACGTATGTAAAAGTAGAAAATTTGACGTGTTGATTCTTTATTTAAAAAAACGTGAAAAATGAGAAATAAAAAATAGAAAAGTTTATCGTCCTCGCGAAGATAATTGCGATAATTATTTTCAAATGATGAACACGGACACAACCGAGAAAAACATTATACAATGGACGGCGTTTAGGAAAGTTATCTCTCGTTATATCTCGTAAGGCGCAACCCTCGGTGTGAGGTACTCCAGGGTTAGTAATCCCGTCTCGGCTTTCGCGTATCTCGCCGATGACGGCAGACAAGAACTAGATAGCTTATCGTCCGACGTCCAAGTGCGCATATCAAGTACAAGGTACGACTGTCTTTGTCGCGTCCCTATAGTCTCATTCCTCGGCGCGATCTTTCTTCCCCACGTCGTCGGCGCTTCCCGTGTATATACTGTGTATGCATTACGGTCGTTCACACGGGCACGAGCGATGGAATGCACCGGCATCGCGCGCGCGCTCGCTCGCTCGCAGGTTCGTGTTGAGGAACCGTTAATGAATCCTCCAGTTTTTTTAGACCGCCCGTGTGTGTTGTCGAACGTGTCTCGTCGGCGCGGCGTGAGGGTAAGGGCGATGGGATGACGGAAGACGCGGACTGACCGGAACGGAACAAGATTTGGGATCCTCTTCCTCGGTTTGGGAGAAAAGAGCGCGAGAACGCTCTCGTCGCGAAACGCGTGTATCGGGGAATACAAATTACGATGTGATTTCCTTTGACATTTTATTTCCTCTCTCTTGTTCGCTCTTTTTATCTCTCTGTGGAATTCCCGACTTCAAGATAATATCATATCGCGAGAGCTGCTTTCTTTTTTGCATGCAAAAAGATCGAGAATCGTATAATATAAAAATCTCAATCAGTCGAGGGTTTCGATCCTTTTGTGTGCTGAAAAATATGTAGGAGAATAAAAATGTAGAGCGATATAGTTTCATTTTTTTTTTTTTTTAATGAAAATTATTTGTGCACCTGCAAACGATCGCTTGATTAAATTTCATACAATAACTGTTTTTTGTTTACATAACTTATACAAATTATCCATTATTCTCATGCATTCCATGAAATTCGACGGTCATAGACATCCGTCAAGTATACGGAGTCTCGCGCGCTGATCCGTTCATTTTTCACAAGCTTCACATATCTTCTTTTAATCCTCTCGTGCGTGCTACGTGAAAGAGTGAGAGAGAGAGGGGGGTATCGGTGCCAGCAGGCCCAAAGCACACCGATACCGGCGGTCTCGAGAAACAGGAGAAGAGAGACAGGAATGAGAAAGGGAAAGAGAGAAAGAGAGAGAGAGGCAGTCACCACCAGGCCGGTACGCGGTTGCAGCTCTGTTTGGCGGCAGTCCGCTTCTGAGAACTAACGGGTCTGCCCCTTTTCCCCCGCAGTCCTCCTCCACTCCACTCGCGGCAACGCATCGCATATCCTCCCCTCTGCTGCGTCCGTCCTCTCTTACTCCTACCCCTCCGCGTACGTGCATCGCGCCTGCGTCAGCGCTGCCCGCTTGCCCGCTTGCCTGCTGCTTGCGCGCTGCTTTTGCCGCGTCGTGCGTACTAGCGAGCGCGCATCTGGCGTCTGCGCATTGGCGCGAGCGTGACGCGCAAGCAATCATTCTCAGTGTGGCACGGGCCGTCGTGCGAGTACGTTGTGTTGTCGATTGGTGTGAACGGTGCCGCGGCTGGTGCGCGCGAGGACACGTTGCTTCCCTCGTGACTTCCTCTTTTCTTTTCACTTCCTGTCGACCACGCGGCCACTCACATTGTGCTCGCAGAGACTGAGGATTAAGTACAATGTGCACAACAATGAGTACACTATCGAGCAACTACTTTCCCAATAGTGGCATGGAAGAAATAATGCCAAAGTGCGGTCGGAATCGGAAAACAGATACATTACGAACGAGACAAGAGAGTCGTGGTCAGCGATGCCGTCCCCCGGATATAACACACAAACGACGACGCACAATCGAATTGGACACGAACATTGGTGTGATTCTTCGAAAACTTCTCAGGAAGCGCAAGTACGAGCTGTGTCTATGAGCAATGGAATCGCGCGAGCGCATGGAACGCGACGTGGAAAGCTCTCACGGAAGCCGTTTCTCAGGCCTAGTCTCCCACGTCGCTCTTATCAGCCGTACGAGCACTAACGATCGGATATCGTGACGCGGGCGTCATGCGGGTGACGAACGTCGGTCGTCGTTCATAACCGGTGCGCGCTCGTCGAAAACGAGCCGCGTGTTTCAACGGGATATACTGCGTATCGGTCGCATCGGCCCCGGGAGGATCGAGGAAACCCGCCCCCCTCGTCGACGAAGCTAAAATAAATGCGGCGTAGGTGGTGACCGCCGCCCCGAGTCTCCGAGTGAAGGAAAAGGAAAAAAAAAAGGAAAACGCGAGTAGCGGAAGCGCGGAAGAGGAGAAAACGCGGCGTGGTTTTTGACCCGATACTCGGATTCCATTCCTCCTGGCCATTGAGGAGAGGAGGCACTCTAATGGACCCTCGTAGCGCACGGTCACGCTACACTACGGTGCGCCATAGTGCGCCGCGCGGAGACTTCCGGCCCGCCACAGGAAGCGAGACACACGTGTTCGGGCGTGTGTGTTCCCATAATACGATCTGCCTACCCTCTTCCCCCCCCTTCTCATCCGTCCCTCTTCCCGTTCGTTTCCCTCCTTCCCGCTCGCCTCTCGCTCTACAGTGCGTTCCATATTCGACGGCCGGGGAAAAGGAAGAGCGAGCGCATCGTGTATATGTGATACGCGCGTATCCGTTTCGTTCCTGCATATACATTCGATCGTTGGTTCGTTTGTTCCGTTTGCCGAAACGTGCATGAAGAAAAGTGAAACGGAGCCATGAACGAGAAAAAACCACTGGTAAGATAACATCGAGACGAATATGTAACGACTCTTATTAGCTTTACTCCGTTCTGTAACGGCTTCTTTAACCGCATTTGCTTTGCTGCTGACGGTACGTGGCGATAGAAAGAGAAAGAGAGAGAGAGAGACCAACGAATTTATGTACGAGCGAAAGTTTCGACTAAGGCTCTAAAGGATTGAAACGTTTACGTTCAGAAATTCTGAGTGCCAGTGGATTAAAATATCGCATTTCTATTATGTTCGATTCAATCGTACCGTTTAATTACTCGAAATACGGTTTTTCTATATACGACCGTGTTATGAATGAATCTCATATACTCATATCAACGTCTACGTTTCTCGCGATCGGAAAAATTCTCGTCCTTACATTCTCGGGTTGCATTTCGTTTAATTAATCGATACAGACTTTTTTTCCTATATGGTCATGTTATGAATGAGTTTTCAACGTTACATTCATATTTCCCGATACGGCGGCCGTACGCCCGCGGTGTAGAGGTGCTCAACCGTGTTGTTCCCCCGTCATTCGGACTTTGACCCGTTAATCAGAAAATACCGAGAATACTTCAATTTATTTAAATATGTAACTTACAACTCTGGATTAGCATACCAAGTTACGATAAAATCTGTTCGAAACTGTAGAAATTTTTGAAACTTTATTTTTCTTGACGCTGAGTTTTTTTACAAAGTAAATCAAACATGAGACTGCTTCGCCAATAACTAACAATAATGATTTTTTATTCGACTGACTATCTTTAATAAAAAGATTTAATATAAAAATCGCCAATTTGGTCGAATAAAAAATTATTACTTTTACAAAATATTTCAAAATTTACTACATCCTATATTTGGTCGGTTTAATTTACGTGGATAAATTTCACGACGTATTGAAAATAAAGTGAAACGCTTGGTCAACTGTTCTGTTAATGGAAATATTTAATATGATCGTTTATAAATGCGAGCGTGCTGCTAGGTAAAGTGTTAAACACACGCTTTTAACTATGTAATAATTAATTAAGATAAAAAATTGTAATCCGAAAGTATCGAGGTCATAATAGTCTCAAAATTATAAGCTTCAACTAAAGTTGAACATCAGGATCAAGTAGAGTCACGCGTTCAGGGCCGTAATTATGTGCACACGTGTACGTTGATCATTATTATTTTTCTCGGCTTATTGGATATAAGTTTTCACCGCTCAATTGATTCTGTTTTCTTAATAAGTGTAGATGCTGCTTAGACTACAGCAATTATCATAAATTTAAATAAGATTTAAATTTATAATGTGTACATACATTTTGATTACTGCTTATAAATTGTTTAACGTCGTAAAATCTGATTTTATTAGCGAATAAGGAGTTATAGAGTGCACGATAACGAAAAGTGCATGTAACAGAAAAATAGAAAAAGATTTAATATATACAGCTGTTCCATCAATCAATATCACATTCGTTCTTAAGGAATAAAGTTATAATTATTAGCATTTAATTAAATTAATTTAAAATAAGCACCTTTCGTGACGTGACAGGTGCCTAAGTTACGAAGAAAGTATACAGCGTACACCGATCAACGTCCCGGAAAACGGGGAACCATGAAATTATGACTTTACATGCTTCTTTCAAGAGCGAAATACGATATAGTAATATCGGTGTGTAATACCATTTTCGGAGCACTCGCAAACGAGAATCCCGCGCTTGTAAGCGCGTGCGTGCGCGCGCGCGGCGACGACGACTCAGCGGTGTTTCTCTTATCGTGCTCATCGCATTCCTGAATATTATTGCCGTGCATTTTTTTCGCGCTCGCTTCGCGTAACCGCGTGCCTGCCTGCCTCTCCCGTCTCTCTTCCGTCCTTGCTCCGGGTATCGAAACTGGTGTAATCTTAGTGAATTTAGATGCCGCGCGTGTGCGGCCGACGCGCGAAGGCTATGAATCTCTATGTTTATTTCGCATTGCGGGGATAAGGTGAGTTTTCCGTATTTCCACGGAGATTCAACCCCGTCAACGTTATACCAGTCTCAATGTCCGTCCGTAGCAACAGTCGCCTCATTCGTTTTCGTTTCTTCGCTTAGCATAATAAAAAAGTTTTTTTTTGTACGTACGACGTTTTCTCTCTGCCACTTTTTCGTCGTCGAGCTGCTTAAAGCTCATCTCGATCGTACATTGAACTCATTAGCATTATACGTACGACTGTTGTTTTCGGCGTTTCTTCGAATTCCGCTTAATTTCCCTAATTGGAAACGAGTCGCGGCCCCTTTAACGAGTGGGAGCAAACACGTGACTCGCGAGAGCGCCCCTTTGTCTCGCATAAAGTCCCAACTCTCCTCCCCACGAAGAGCCTTATTACCTCGGACGTTCGTTCTCGCCTGCTCCGCTGGCAAAGTTCGGCGGCCGCGGCGGCCTCAGCCCGCCGCGTTGAGATCCTCCAGATTCTTATGCGTATGTTGTATTATGGTTATATAGGTGGGCCGATCTTTCTCTCTTTTTCCTCTCTCTTTCTTTCGCTCGTTTCGCTGCCGAGCCGTGAATGCGAACTGTAGGAGGCTGAGTTAAGGACAGGTACCAGTGGAATGCCGTCTTCGGACCGACCGCCTGAGAATCCCGACCTCCGTGTTCCGTGTACCTCTCCTCCGATGCGATCCAAACACTCTCGCAGCGTGCCGCGCGCGCGCACGGCCTCGGACCCTTATGAATAACAACAAAGCGGAAGACGCACTGCTCGTGAAAATCGTCAAATCAAGCTCGGTCAAAGAAAAGCGACAATATGAATTGCACTTTGACAAAATAAGTTTGCAAGTTACAATTCTCTTTACATCTTCGAAAAAAATTAATTAATTTATTAATCTTTATTAACGATGTTATATATTTAAAATTTGATAATATAATTCTCAAAGGAAAATTCTAAAAGGAAAGAAAAACAAAGGATTGCATAATTACTCCATTTTATATTTGTGATACATATACTTGAATTATTTCGATTTGCATTATCGATTCAATGTACCGTAAGACCGAGAACAAATAGTTAAGTACAATCAGTAGGTATTACATTTATAGCAGGAAATCTGTTTTACAGTTGTAGCAATCGATATCTATTTGCTTATTTTTATCTCTCTTCATTGTCTAGAAACGGAGTATACTTTTTATAAACCGTGTATCGTGAATTTTCATAGGTAAATATAAACCAATTCGCTGTGAATGTCTAAAAATGTTTAAAATTCGACGAAGATCTTAATGCTTTTAAAAAAAACTCGCGCAATATACAGTGTCTCTCTCTTTCTATATATATATATATATATATGTATATATATAATTCTTTCAGGACCTTCCTGGTTTACATGGGGATGAGACCCGCATGTGCCAGATTCGCAAGCTCAAACAATAATGACTGCCTCTGCGTGATTACGCTAACCCACGGGGTCCAGAACGACCTGATATACGCGAAGGATGTCATTTACAAGTCCGACAGGCTTTGGAAGTCTTTCGCCAGTGATAAATGTATAACGCTCGTGGGCAAGCCTAAGCTGTTCTCCATCCAGGCTTGCAGAGGCGACGAATCCGATAACGGTGTTATGCTGTCCCCTCGCACTTTAGTAAAAACGGAAACGGATTTGGTAGTTACTTATGCTATTCGATCCAAGCTCTCCCTTGGCAACAAGTACGGCGCCGCGGCGCCCTGTCGCAAGACCAGAGCTGAAAACGTCTTTTTCGACGGAATTAAACAACATGCTATCAATATCACATCGTCGCCCCTCTCCGCTTCGTGGAGAAACCTCGCCGAGAAAATCTATTTTCTAAACTAGGATGCAGTGTATATTATAGAATTTGTCAGATTCGCAAGTTCACACACCTAAGCTCTCCCTATATATATATATATATATTTTTTATTTTTTATGAATAAGAACAATCGTAATCGCGCGAAATTCGCTCGTTTGCCGGCCAAATTACCAAACGCGGGAGAATAAAGGAGACCGCGTTATATAGGTGCACACGTATCGTTTCGGGGCCACGGTCCGTGCCTTGTTTACGTCGCCGTACAGAAGGGCCCTCGGGGCCCGAGGCGCAAGGGGTCCGGAGCAGCGTGAGAGCGGGCGCCTTCGCCGCGGAGCATTTAGCGCAGTGGGCGCTCCTCGCCGCTCTCCCTCCTCCTCTACCCGTCTCAACCCCGTCGTGCTCTCCGCCCTTCCCTGGGTCTCTTTCCCTTTTTCTCTCGTGCGCCACCACCGTCGCTCTCTTGCTCTCGAGTAATTTATCGCGCGGCGAATTCTAATTATCGTTCTGCCACTTTTACAATATCTCGCCCCATTATATCTTATAATAATTAGAGAACTGTTTTCCAAAATGAAGCGATAATTTTTCGGTCTAATATTAAGACCGATTTAATTATTTAATTACCATAAACGGAAGAGACCCACAAACTTCCTTAACGAATTAAATACAGAATCTGCAAGCGTATAAAATATTGTAGTTTAGATTGGAGAAGAGGATGGTTTATCGAAATAATAATTGAAAGAAAAGCGATCTGTGTCGGATTCGGTATCAGAAACATCGCGCGAACGTCCGCGTCGAGAGATATCCGCGCAGGGAACGAGGCACGAATGATCGCGGGGTCCCGATATTCCTAGGGGACTCGTGTCCCCGAATATCTAATAAACACCGCGTGCGCACAGAAGAGAGCGCGCGGTCGTTTCCTCTCCGTCTTCCTCGGTCGCTCTTTTTCTCCTCTTTCAGCGAGGGCAACGAGGCCGGCCGGCCGGCCGGGGCCCGCCGCCGCGCCGCGGTGTGTGCATGTGCACACGACGAGGACGGACGAGGAGCGTCTGAGCGGCCTGCGGCCGCCATGACAGAGCGGAATGCATGAGAACGCAGAGCTACTGACCCTCTCCCCGTCCTCCCCCCCCCCCCCCCCCCCCCCCCTCTCATATATGCCTCTCTATGTCTCGTTCCCTCGTACACTCCTTTAACCCCTCGAGGACCCCTTTCACCCCTCCTCCTACTCCTCCTCCTTCCCCCGCCGTTTTTTCTTCTCGCTCTCGCTCGCGAGGTGGAAGTGTTCACCTCTCTTTAATCTCCATATCAATCTCGCTCGCCGAAACCGCCGAAACGGCCGCCGCGCCGTCGGGCTTTTAATCGCGCCGATTCGGAATTATTCGGAACAACGCTCGCCCGTACCTCGGGCTTATCCTTGTAACGCGTCGCGATACGATGTGCACGTCTTTCGACGCGCGTCTCTGCCTCTCCCTCCTCCTCCAGTATCGTTAATTCAGCCGAGCGCGCACATAATTGACTCGTACGGGCCGTAGCGCGAGCGCACGCATTGCCGGAGATAAGGAGAGAGATATTCCAACCGCGTCCGGGATCTCCTTCGATACGTGCTCGATAAACGTTTCTGAAAAATTCCCCGTGATTTCGATACGTTTCTATATTTTACACAACAGGCTTTTTTATAGTAAATAGTGATACATTTACATTTTAATAAAAAAAGAAAATTTTAATTGCGTTTAATATTTGCATTTTATAAGTCTAAATATATATTTTTTTAAATTTATGTTATGCAAATAAAGTACTTTATACATCTTTCGCGATAATAAATTTCTTACGTTGTTTCGCTGTCTTCGCGACCGCAGTTGCACCAAGTCTCGCGCGAGCATGTTTCGCAAGTGTCGAAGGAATCGAAGATCGCGAAGTGAAGCAAAGAAATTCGACGAATATGTCCAGAGAGACTACTCTTCCGCGAAGTCGTAGTCGAGCTGAAAAAAATACAGATGGAGACCCTGATGCCGTGTCTACTATAGTGAGTGACAAGACGACTACTCGCAAACGCGATGCGACGAATGCGCGGCCAGAGGTGCATATACATCGGACGTTTCTCCGTCGGTGTCGGTTGTGTCGTGTGCCAATCGGTCACATAACGGTCGCACGGTCGTAACACGACCGCCGCGCGCCGCTGTCGCCGCCGACATGACGTCAGGAGATCGACGACCGTGTATCCACGTCGCCGCGACGGTCATTCATACGACTCGATGGAAGCCCGCGCGTTGGAATCCGAGGCGAGGAATGCGACAGGAAATAGTCGCATGACTGCGCTCGCGCGCGCCCGTGTGCGATCCATGGAAAAAAAAAATCCGCATTGACTTACATATCGCTGGCGCGATCTACGCGATCGCCGCATCTCGCTCGAAATCGCTATAATTTCGGTGAACTCGATCATTCTGATCCTAACGAGATTATAATTGCGGGTTTCGTGCTCCCCTTTGAGATACCGCGGAATGAAGCGCGCGGCATTTAAATGGCTCGTCACGTAAATGGAAACCTTGTCGGTAGCCCTGCTATGCATCTTACTCTCGTGACTGTCCTCGAAAGAAAAGGTCCTAAACCTACTAGACGTCTAAATCTCACGCGTTCTTTTTTTTTTCATCGATCGGCGAGCACGGTTGCGTGATATCTAAAAATCGAGATGTTTGCACGAACCGTACGCGGGCTTATTGCCTCGCGCGCGGTGCCCATAATCGAATCAAAAGACTCTCGTTAATCGCGCATAACTGGCCGCCGGCCGCATCGGGTAATGGTGGAGGGAACGCGGCGCGCGAGGCCGCGCGAAGAGAGCGTGCAATAAAGTCCCGAGCGCGACTTAATACCGCGCGACGGCTCTCCTCGTTGGGTCGTTGACTCTACGTTTCTTCTTTCTTCGAATCCTGGGGGCCCCCAGTCTCTCGTACCAGATCCTCTGTGCTCGGGCTCCTCGCACACGCTCTCCCGACTCCCGACTAAATCCGTCCCTGCACCGGGGTCCGGCTAAATCCCCCTTTTCTCTCTTTTCTCTCTCTCTCTCTTTCCTTGTGCCGTACTCTTCTACGTCCTCGCTCCTTCCCCCCATCGTTTTTCTGTCGGCGTGCACGCGGATACTTCTTCGTTCCTGCTAGACGGTAAACAACGCCACGCCATTCCTACTTCTCCCATTCATATCTCTCCCGCGAGCGTCTCCCGAATTATTAAGATGCCGTCCAGGAGCGTACGCGTGGGATGATAGTAATCGTCGTTGACATGAGCTTATACTTCCTTTTTCTTTTCTTTTTTTTTTAATCACCGTGAGTACGGGATCAGCACTCGGACGGCAGTGATCAATTTCCAATTTGATTGATGTTATAATTTCTCTTTTAATCCATGAAAATTAGAACACTGTATAAGTTTTATTCTTGCAATTAAAATTTCAGTTAAAAGAAGCAAAGAGAAGATGTTGAGTTCTTATACTTGTGATTATATTGTTATATCGTTCTCGCCTAATAATTTACGAAGTGCATTTGGTGTCATTGGAGCCCATGAATCACTAATGCCTACACATTTGACTCTTTGAACTTGTTGCTGAGATAAACGTATCGACAAGAATGGCACTTACAGCTGATGACATATC